ATACAAAAATAACCTAAGTAAACTTTGATAGACTAAAAAAAAACAAAAAAACAACCCATAATAGTAGTGTTTCAAACTGTAAGCTTAAGACAAATTTGAAGCCCGCTTCGAACCAGATATGGCTATCCAAGCATCTAAATGGAATGCAAAAGGAAATATGACTTTTACAGTTAGCTGGTTTTCCAAATGGGCCCCTCCCCACTAAAGATCGACAATTGCCCTGATAAGGATCAGAGCAAACAGAGTCCTAGCTTCGCTCTAGTAAAAACATAAACAAAAAACAGAACCATTAATAAGATGGAATGTGACTGTAAAGTGAAGTGAAGATAAGACACAGCACCCTCTATTTAAAGCAAATGGTCAAAGTGCATGCCTGCCCTGCTTTAAGGCTATGGTTACATAAACTTTACTTATGTCTTTTCACGGGCATAAAGTCATAAAGCACTGTACAACAGTTAATAGAATGGAAAAAAACAAAGAAACAACCTGAAAAAGCAACCTGTCAGAACAGAATAAAAATAATAAAATAAGATAATAATATTAATAAAAAGAGAATGTCAACAGAAGGCCTGGCTAAACAGGAAAATTTCAACAGAAGGTTTTGACTCTTCAGAGTCGCAGAGAGAAACGTAGCTGAAGTGGTAAACTGCTCCAGAGTCTTGGTGTCACAAACTGAAAGCCTCTGTCTGCAAATGAACACTGTGAGAAATAAGATGTTACAGTGAAGAATAAAATATTACAGCTGCATTTAATCATTTATTCCAGGGTTAGTGTTTTGGTCCATCTTCCTCCCCTCACCCTGTTGGCATCAGACAGCCGCCCCCCTCTGAGCTTCTGCTGGAGGTTTCTTAATTCAGACGTTAAAAATAACTTTTTCTGCCATCACCATGTGCTGCTCATACGAGGTTGTGTGATTGTTTACGTTCATTTCCTTATTATGTAGGATGTTTACCTTACAATACAAAGCGCTGTGAGGCAACTCTTGTTGTGAGTTGTAGAATGAAAACAACAATGGACCTAGAATTGAACCTTGTGGAATCCCACAGATTAGAGGACCTGTGTTTTTGTCCCAACAGAAAAGTAATCTAATTACCTCAGCATAATTAAAATAGAAAAGAATAGAACTTTGTTTCTTTTCCGTCTTTACTTACAAAACAAAGTAAACAGAATGGCAAATAGACTCAAAAATAAAATCAAATGAAACTGAAATTACATTCAGCAAGAGACGTTTTGTGAATAGCTTACCTCGCCATTTTTTAAACTGGTTGATCTTAGCATTCAGCATGGGACACACCTCCCTCACTATGGTCTCCAGGGTGTTTAGATTACTTTCGCTAAGGTGGTCCATGCGCTCCATCTCCAGGAAGACTTCCAGTGTAGTCTGAAAATGACACAAGGTCTTTGCACTGATGGAAAAATGAAGTGTATGTGCGGAAGTTCTGCAGGTTTGCTCAAAGGAAAATGTGACAACGTATGGCAGGCGATGCTACAGGTAACAAGTACACATACATAACACATTGTTATAAAGAAGGACTAGAATGAAATATTATGGGCTACATTTACCACATTTCTGAAGGCGCACTTACAATATGTTCCCCCAGTTTTCTACGTGGGATCATCGTGTTTAACAAGAACTTCACTTCTCGCAGATCACCATCAGTAATTTCTTCAGAGAGGCTGTAAAGAAGCTTCCTGGAATTACAGAAAAAACATTTGATAGAAATAGCTTTACAGATTAAAATTTATTTTTCAATGTAAACCTAAATCAGAAAAACGAAACAGTACGAAGCGAAACATGAACGGCATACCTGTAGGGAGAAATAAAGCTCGTTGTTGTATGTGGAGCGAGACAGAGATCCCGGATCAGGGCATGATGTTCAGTAGTGACCAGAAGCTCGGTCAGGAGCTGTGGGTTCTCAGGTGAGAGATGGTCTTGTTTCATCAGGCAGGAGAAGAGCTCACTGGCCGTTTCCACCTTGTTTGGCTTTTGGTCCAGGAGGTCAGTGCAAAGAAAGACCAAGGCTTTCACTTCATCTTTAGACAGTGCCTTACCCACCTTTAGCAACAAATTTTGGAATTCCATTTCCTGTATTTAAAACAAAGTACAAGACTTTCAGAAACCAGAAATTTAAATATGTAGCCTAGGTCTGTTGTTTAACTATGCAAAGTGGTCACATCATGCAAATTGCTCCTTGGAGAAATGACTCAAAAATAGTCATTTCAATAATACTTTTTTGCATTCTAGATGATTTTACGTCTCTTACGAAAAGGCAAATAAATAGGGCTGTCTTGATGTTGTACGTTTTCTCCGTTATTATTATTATTATTATTATTATTATTATTATAGCATGTCTAGAATATCTTATTTGATGTCTAGAATACAAAATTTATGTATCTATAACTCAACGAGAGCTGCCCCTTACTACCAACTGCGCCTCATAATTCCGGCTGACCATGTCCATCCACCCCTTTATGACCCCAGTGTATCTATCCTCTGATGGTTGCGTCCAGCGGGATATTACACCATGTCACAAACATCAAATCATCTCAAGGTGGTTTCCTGAACATGACAATGAACTCGTTGCACTAAAAAGCCCTGCACAGACATTATGGTCTTAATCCAACAGAGCACCTTTGAGAGGTGGTGGAAGTGGAGATCCATATCATCGGTGTGAAGCTGCGAAACCTGCAGCAACTGTGTGATGCCATCATGTCAATATGCACCAAAATCTCAGAGGAATGTCACCAGCACCTTGTTGAATATATGCCATAAAGAATTAACACATTTAACATTTACCCAGATTTTTTCAACGTAATTTAATACTGAGGCTATAGACATACCCACAAAATACCCCACAGATTATCTAATATTGGTTCACGACTAGGGTTGCCAAACTCTACATGGGACTACACAGCATTTTTTTCTTAACCTCTGTCTCATTCCTTGAGGCCATGTATGTCCATTTAGTCTGGATCTGGAGCACACACATTTTTCTGAAGTCGAGCTTTCACCCAATGCATATAAAGGGAAGTCTTTTTATTGCAGACAGAATAAAGTTAGTCTGTCAAATGCAATAATAATCTTGGTAATTTCTAACGTTCCCTAAGTTTAAAAACAAACAACCCCGTCACACATGGCTTCAAAACGTAAACCAACCTATGATAGCATCCCTACTGAAACCTCAAAACAACTTAGTTTTTTTCGTTTTAACCTTATTGAATAACATGGTAACACGCAGAGTTTACTGTATTCTCATTTTTCAGTTAGTCTTCTGTCCCGGAAAATACATTGCAATACTTCAGCACACTTAAAGGTAACCCATGGTAGCCATCTGTGCTCAAACACCATCTCGTGCAGAGGTACCTGTATGGACACGCGTTGACAGCTTGTCTGAAGGACGACGACGACGATACTGGTTGTTTATGTCCACATACTTCCAGCGTACTTCATGTTGTCGGTGGCTGCTGAAAAATGGTTTAACTCGCCATCGAGAACGTCACAGACTTCGTAGAAGTCTTACTTTAACTACTTTTCAGTAGTTAAAGTAAGTCCAGGCGAGTAAGCAGGAATCGAAAGTGAAAGAGAGTCTGCCGCATCGACAAGCTAGTTACTGTGCGGATCACTTAAATGTAAAGGTGAAAATATAGCAACCTGTTTTCACTCAGTGGGATGTGTACTCCAACCTGCCATTATGTCAACAACTACCTGTGTGACGCACGTGGCCTCGATCGGGAATCACCTCTGCGTAAGCCTGGAGTCATGTCTGGGCAAGTCCCCGACGAGGCAGGTTAATAATAAATCTAGATTGAGTAACTACTGTATATAAAGTCTGTAGACTAATAAAAGAAAAGTG